GCGCGTCAGATCAACCTTCAGCCCCGGGTCTCCATGCCGGGGACCTCCCCCACTCTGCTGTGGACGGGGAAGGTTGGCGATGCGTCTGCGTTCCGTGTCTGGGGATCTCGGGCTTTTGTCCGAGACTTGTCTGCGGACAAGATGTCCTCCCGTGCTGTTCCCTGCGTCTTCCTTGGCTTCCCCCCTGACGCGCCTGGCTGGCAGTTCTACCACCCCACCTCGCGCCGTGTTCTGTCCTCCCAGGACGTCACGTTTGACGAGTCGGTTCCGTACTACCGTCTCTTCCCCTACCGCGCTGCCCCCCTGCCACCCCCACCACTTTTCCTCGTGCCAGGTCCCCCCCAGGTCGACCCCCTCCCCCCTCAAGGTCCTGCTCCTTCAGGTGTGTCTCAGGTAGACCCCCCCCCCTTGGCTGAGCCTTTGGAGGTCACTTCCGACACCTCTGGCACACCCGAGAGGGGTGACGTTGCTGCTGACGCCCCGACGGCCTCCCGCCGCGCTCCCCGCTTGGAGACCCCTCCGGGGTTCCCTCCACGACCTTCCTCACCGCCTCCGTCGCCGGTTCCTGTTGACTCTGGAGCTGTTGTGGGCGGTGCTCCTGGGGGCGCTGGGTCTGGGGGTGCTGAGTCTGGGGGTGCTGAGCCTGCGTGTGAGGAGACTGGAGGCCTTGCGCCTGGGGGTGCTGAGTCTGGGGGTGCTGCGTCTGGGGGAGCTGAGCCTGTGTCTGCGGAGTCTGGGGGTACTGAGTCTCGCGGGGAGCCACTTGAGGGTTCTGAGACTGCTGCTGTGCGGTCCCCTTGGCGTGGCCGCCTTCGTTCGCGTGTGCCTCTCACTCCACAGCAGCTGCACGACTGGTACGGTCGCCGTCCGGGTCGAGCTGCTGGAGCTCGGGGCTCTGCTGCTGGAGGCTCTGGTTCCGGAGGTGCTCGTACTGAGGGTACTGGAGCTGCTGGGACTACTACGTCTGGGGGTGCCTCTGCTTGGGACACCGGGGCTGGAGACCCTGGGGCGGGAGGTGCCGGCTCTGGGGGTGCTACTGCGGGCGGTTCTGCGGTTGGCGACCCTGCGTCTGGAGGTGCCGGTTCTGGGGGTGCTCCTCCTGGGGACACTGGAGCTTCTGGAGGTGCTGGAGCTGCTGGAGACACTGGAGCTGCTGGAGGTACTGGAGCTCGTGGAGACACTGGAGCTGCTGGAGGTGCTGGAGCTACTGGAGGTGCTGGAGCTGCTGGAGACGCTGGAGCTGCTAGAGGTGCTGGCGCTGCTGGAGACGCTGGTGCTGCTGGAGCTGCTGGAGGTGCTGGAGCTGCTGGAGGTGCTGGAGCGACCGGTGCTGACGCAGCCGCACCGCCTCGCCTGTTCTTCGCTCCACCGTCTCCGTCGTCTCTACCGCCGCCTGACTCTGTTCTCCGTCAGGTTCTTACTCTCCCGTCGTCCACGGGTCTTCCGTTACCTGCTGGCTCACCACTCCCTGCTCCTTCCCCTTACACTGAGCAGGCTGGTGGTCTTGCTGAGCGTCGTGCGCCTGCGTCGCGTCCTGTCTCGCCCGTTCGGTCTGGTCGTCCCAGTCGTACCGGTCGTTGTGTTTCTTGTACGCGTCAGCCGCCTGTACCTAGCGCGCACAGCGTCTGACCGGTTTCGTGCTGAGCACCCTACTGTCACGCGTCTGTTAGCTACTGTTGTCACTGACCCGTCGTTCGAGTCCACTGCTGCGTCTGCCTTGGTTGCTGAGCTTGTTGACTTTGCTGCTGTCTGTCGTCTCGACTACGCCACTAGTCTTGTTGCTGCGTCTGAGTCTGTCTGTCCTCCGTCCGTCGGGGGTGAGTGTGCTCTTGGCACGGACGTCCTTGAGGACAGACAGGAGGAGTTCCAGTGTCTTGCTGCTGCTGTACCCCATCTCGTGGCCATGCTGCTTGCCCCTGAGGGAGACCCGGATGCACTTGACATCCCGACTCCGCGCTCTTACGCGGAGGCGATAGAGGGTCCCTACTCCTCTCAGTGGCAGGCAGCCATGGACGCAGAGATGGCTTCCTGGAAGTCCACAGGCACCTATGTTGACGAGGTTCCCCCTCCTGGGGCGAACATCGTCAGTGGCATGTGGATTTACAGGGTGAAGCGGCCACCAGGTTCTCCTCCTGTCTTCAAGGCGCGTTACGTGGCTCGCGGCTTCAGTCAGCGGCAGGGAGTTGACTACTTTCATACCTTCTCTCCCACCCCGAAGATGACCACTCTTCGGGTGCTACTGCACATAGCTGCTCACCGTGACTACGAGCTTCACTATCTTGACTTCAGCACAGCTTTCCTACAGGGCAGCCTGCACGAGGAGATCTGGCTGCGCCGCCCACCGGGCTTCACTGGGACGTTTCCTCCTGGCACCCAGTGGAGCCTCCGGCGGCCGGTCTACGGTCTCCGCCAGGCGCCGCGTGAGTGGCATGACACACTGAGGACTACACTTGCGGCTCTTGGGTTTGCTCCTTCTACTGCCGACCCGTCGCTATTTCTGCGCACTGACACCTCTTTGCCGCCGTTCTACATCCTCGTGTACGTTGACGACTTGGTCTTTGCTACAGCTGACACTGCTGGACTCGCCCACGTGAAGTCCGAGCTGCAGAAGCGACACACGTGCACAGACCTGGGTGAACTGCGCAGCTACCTTGGCTTGCAGATCACCCGGGACAGAGCACGACGCACCATTACACTGTCTCAGTCACACATGGTGCAGCAGGTCCTTCAGCGTTTCGACTTCACGTACTCCTCGCCTCAGGCCACTCCTCTGTCTACTCATCACTCGCTCTCAGCTCTGCCTTCGGATGAGTCCGTAGAGCCGAGTGGCCCGTACCCAGAGCTTGTTGGCTGCCTCATGTACCTGATGACATGCACACGACCTGACCTTGCATACCCTCTTAGCATCCTGGCACGCTATGTTGCTCCTGGGAGACACCGACCAGAGCACATGGCTGCAGCGAAGAGGGTGTTGCGCTACTTGTGCAGTACGTCAGGCATGGGGCTAGTGCTTGGAGGGCAGAGTCCAGTGGTCCTCACTGGTCACGCAGACGCTTCTTGGGTTGACGACCTGGCTACTCAGCGGTCGTCACAGGGTTACACTTTCAGCCTTGGTTCCGGCTCTGTTTCGTGGCGGTCTACCCGCTCGTCGTCTGTTCTCAGCTCTAGCTGTGAGGCTGAGATCTACGCAGGAGCCATGGCTGCACAGGAGTTACGCTGGCTTACCTACCTGCTGACTGACCTGGGAGAGCCGCCTCGTTCTCCTCCAGTTCTGTACGTAGACAACAAGGCAATGCTGGCCTTGTGTCGGGAGCACAGACTGGAGCACAGAACGAAGCACATTGCTCTCCGCTACTTTCTTGCACGTGAGTTGCAGCAGCGTGGTCAGCTGCGCCTTGCTTACGTGGCCACTCGGGCCAACACTGCTGATATCTTCACCAAGGCACTTCCGCCTGGTGATCATCAGCGCTTCTGTACGATGCTAGGTCTTGTGCCCACTTGGCCTCACTTGCTCACTTCTTGACCTTGCTTGTACTGCATTTTCTATATACATGCTCTTGCTTGTTTGTCTTTATATATAATCATGCATGTGAACTGGCCTTGTGGCCTTGACCTTGTACTCAGATTTGTGGTGACGTTGTGATCCACTCTGAGCTTGCTTGCTTGACTGGTCTTGTGGCCTCTAGGTCTTCCCCACTTTGCCTATGGGGGTGTGTCAAACATATGTTATATTGTTTATATCTAGGCTGTAGTGGGTTAGATACTAGAGGGTATAGGGTTGTTTCTTGTACGTCTCGAACTTCTCCTAGTGCAACTTTTCTCTCGACTCTCACATCTCCTGCTGCCTGTGTGTCTGCAGCTTCAGCCGTCGCCTCTCATCTTCTTGCTCCCACAGTTTCTCCTCCTCCTCACTTGCCCTCTGTGATAGCCTCTAGCTTTGCTTATAATTGTGAACTATTGCTCTGTCTGCTTGTTATGTTGATTGTACCCCACTTTGACTATGGGGGTGTGTCAGAATGTGATGGTTGTCTAGCCTGCAGTGGGGTACTCTATAGCGAGTACAGCCCTTCTAGGGTTTGCATATATGTATCCCTATGCTTGTTAGTCAAAACCCCTTCTTGCCTGTTTCTCGTTTTGGCCTAGCATTTTGACACCGTCTCCTCCCTCCCTTGTCCAATCTCCTCTTTTCCCGCTCCCATCTTCCCTATCCCCCCAAATCCTTGTCTCCCTTTTTCTCCTCCTCCCCCTCTTCCTATCTCATTCTTCTCCTCTTCCCCCTCTTCCGATCTCCCACCACTTTTCCCCCTGCTATACACTTGTCCCCCCTCCCCGCTAGCCCCTTGCTTCCCCCCTGTTAGCCCCCTATTCCCTCCCTGCTAGTCCCTTGTTCCCTCCTCGTCCAATCTCCTCCCTTGCTCCCTTCCTCTCTTCCGCACATCCTCCCTTCCTCTCTGTCCTGCCTTTCCTCCCTTGCTTTCCCTCATTTCCCACCCAGCGTCCCCTCATTTCCCTGCTATTCATTATGGTCCCCCCCTTGCTTACCCTTCCTTTCCCCCGTGCTAGCCTTCCTCCCCCCTGCTCACCCTTCCTAACCCTCCAGCTTACCCTCTGTTTCTTCTCTCCATTCTGTTTTTTTTTTTTTTCTTTGACAGCACCACGATGGCAGGAGGAGGGCCGTGTTGTTCGAGTGAAGCTCTTTGCACCTTGGTGGAACTAAATACCAGTATACAGTTGTACCGGCTTGTGTGTGGCATTAGTGTATCAATCAAACGATCTGGTAGCATATTACAACAGTTCATTCAAGATTTTCAGCGCACACAATAGCTTTGATGACGTAGATAACATCTGTAACTTGCAAACCTTACATCTTTTAGATAAGCATTACGGTATTACATGATGCAACTGGGCACAGCACTGAGGTATGCAACTTGTGCAAAATGGTGTACACATTTCAGGGTAAATGCGAGTGTTGTCTCCTGCTCTAGCTGTTCAGGGTTCGCTCAACACTTCCTTGAGCCTGCGGCTGCTCCCTTTACTCTGCCAAACTCATCTGAGCCCGACCTGGTCATGCTTGAAGTGGAAACAAAGGGATGAGTGATGGGTGGAGAGGCACATGGGGAGGGAGAGGAGAGATGGTGAGATCGAGGGAGAGGAGGGGCAGGCCGGGGAAATCGAAGGCTCGCGTGATGCGTGGCGCTCACCTCTCTGAGGGTGGTGGTGAGCAGGGCGGAGGGTGGGGGAAGCATGGCAGAAGGAGGGAGGAAGCAGAGAGGAGGGAGGGGGGAAGCATGGCAGAAGGAGGGGGGAAGCAGGGCATAGGGAAGGGGGAAGCAGAGCGGAGGGAGGGGGGAAGCATGGCAGAAGGAGGGGGGAAGCAGGGCATAGGGAGGGGGGAAGCAGAGCGGAGGGAGGGGGGAAGCATGGCAGAAGGAGGGGGGAAGCATGGCAGAAGGAGGGGGGAAGCAGGGCATAGGGAAGGGGGAAGCAGAGCGGAGGGAGGGGGGAAGCATGGCAGAAGGAGGGGGGAAGCAGGGCATAGGGAGGGGGGAAGCAGAAAGGAGGGAGGGGGGAAGCATGGCAGAAGGAGGGGGGAAGCAGGGCATAGGGACGGGGGAAGCAGAGCGGCAGGGCGGAGGGAGGGTGGAAGCAGGGCGGAGGGAGGGGGGAAGCAGGGCGGAGGGAGGGGGGAAGCAGGGCGGAGGGAGGGGGGAAGCAGGGCGGAGGGAGGGGGGAAGCAGGGCGGAGGGAGGGGGGAAGCAGGGCGGAGGGAGGGGGGAAGCAGGGCGGAGGGAGGGGGGAAGCAGGGCGGAGGGAGGGGGAAGCAGGGCGGAGGGAGGGGGGAAGCAGGGCGGAGGGAGGGGGGAAGCAGGGCGGAGGGAGGGGGGAAGCAGGGCGGAGGGAGGGGGGAAGCAGGGCGGAGGGAGGGGGGAAGCAGGGCGGAGGGAGGGGGGAAGCAGGGCGGAGGGAGGGGGAAGCAGGGCGGAGGGAGGGGGGAAGCAGGGCGGAGGGAGGGGGGAAGCAGGGCGGAGGGAGGGGGGAAGCAGGACGGAGGGAGGGGGAAGCAGGGCGGAGGGAGGGGGGAAGCAGGGCGGAGGGAGGGGGGAAGCAGGGCGGAGGGAGGGGGGAAGCAGGGCGGAGGGATGGAGGAAGCAGGGAGGAGGGAGTGGGGAAGCAGGGCGGAAGGAGTGGGGAAGCAGGGAGGAAGGAGTGGGGAAGCAGGGAGGAAGGAGTGGGGAAGCAGGGAGGAAGGAGTGGGGAAGCAGGGAGGAAGGAGTGGGGAAGCAGGGAGGAAGGAGTGGGGAAGCAGGGAGGAAGGAGTGGGGAAGCAGGGAGGAAGGAGTGGGGAAGCAGGGAGGAAGGAGTGGGGAAGCAGGGAGGAAGGAGTGGGGAAGCAGGGAGGAAGGAGTGGGGAATGCTGGTGGTGTGTGGGGGCCTTCGCTACCGACGGGGAGTGGCGACTTGGATAGACATGGGAATAAGTGGAAGTGCGTGTGGATGGGGGAAACAGAGGCGACAACGGGAGGCGAGGGCGTTGAGGAGCCACGCAAGCGACGAGGGAAGAAAAAGGGGATATTCGGGTAAGCCTTTCACACGTGGGAAAGAGCGCGAGACGCGGGCAAGCGGTGATGATGCGGGAAAGCGCGGGTGACCTCGGGTAAGCGCGGGAAGCGCGGGTACGCGCGGGAAACGCGGGTAAGCGCGGGTAAGTGGGGATGACGCGGGTAAGCGTGGGTGACGCGGGTAAGCGCGGGTAAGCGTGGGAAGCGCGGGTGAGCGTGGGAGACGAGGGCAAGCTCCGTGGCGAGGGGAAACGCTTGCGACGAGGGGACGCGCGGGCGACGAGGGCTGCGCGAGTGCAGCAGCGCTCGTAACTTGGGGTCGCGCGAATCGCGAGAGAAGCGCGGACGATGAGGTGGTGCACTCGCCACATACTAAGTGTGGGTGTCTAAACGAGGCGAGGATGTGGCCTGAAGGCGGATCGTAGCAAAGTGTTTGTTGGGCGGGCCCTGCTATGCTGGCCAATGCGTTGCGGGGATTGTAATGGAGGTAACCAGCAGCCTTTGCCGACCTGTGGTGCGCAAGAACGGGCGTCCCGTGGCTGACATGCGAAAATGGTAGGGTAATAGCGTGTTTGGCAAGAAGCGGGTGTTGCTCAGCTATTGGCTTGACAGCGGGAGTGACGAGAGCTGGAAGGGAAAAAAAAGCTTCTACCTAAACTAGCTTTTACCGCCTGCCGCGCGTTTCCTAGTTACGCGCCTACCCTGGTTAGGAGTACTACTTGGTCGTCAAGTTATGTGAGAGGCATGCAGGGCAACCTGGTGGGCGATGTTCGGATCTGTTGTGCGACTGGGCACAGGAACCAATCAGGAATGACCGTCGCAAGAAGTTTTCCCTGGGTCGCGAGAGTTATTTCAAACAAAAGAGGGTAACCCTGTTTTTAACGACTTCAAGTTCAAGAATCTTGAACTTGAAAAATGCCATGCTGTACCCGGGCTTTAATTGACACAGACCCTATGCTACGGCATCCCCTGCCTAGCATGGGGGGGAGCTCAATAGCATAGTTCCTGAATCATCCAACTGTTACATGAAACAACACAATATGTGAAAACTAAAAAAATGATCAAAATCTATCAAATCCAGTTCAATTGTGTTGGGCTGAGACAGCCCTTGGGTAAATTCGGGGTAGGATAATTGTAATAGCGGAAGCGTTTAATGAAGAACTTGTGAACCACCTTGCGCTGGTATGTGAGGGCAAAGTAAGTTGATTAAAGCAAAGAGATACAAGCATTTATATATGAGTACAAGGAATATGAAAGGATACAGTTATAACTACTTTACTGTTGCTGTTGCGGTTCGATACAGTGACGACTCGGGCAACTGCTCTGTAGCGAGTCAGTTGTGTGTCCTTGCTGTCGCGCTGTACTTGTCAGGTCAAAGGTCGCTGACCTTTGACTTTCGCGTAACCTCCAGCAACCTCTTTCAACCTCCGAGGGTTGACTCGCGTGTGCCTCGATATGGTTCGCTTCGCTTCTGGTGTGATGTTTCGACACGACAGAGGCGCTTTAGGATTTACTGTTTCCAACACTCCCCTTCGCTTCTGGAGTGTCGCTGCTGATGACGTGGCCTTGTCCAGTCAGCAGCATGCAGTACTCGAACTTCTGCTTTCCGAGCTTCTTGGTCAAATAGTCGGCTGCCATCTCGGACGTGGGACAGTAGGATAGTTCAAGTCTCCCCTTCTCGATCTCGTCTTTCACGAAGAAATATCGCAGGGCGATATGTTTCGTTCTGTTCGCGAAGCCACTTTTGTTGGCGATGCGAATTGCCGATTGGTTGTCGCAGAACAGGGTGAAGTTGGGTAACTCAGCTAACTTTGCTTCTTCCAGCAGCTCGCGAAGATAAAGTCCTTCTTTGGTGGCTGAGCAGAGTGCAATGTATTCTGCTTCAGCTGATGAGAGTGCGATTAACTCCTGCTTGCTCGACTGCCAGGAGATAGGACCGATAGGTTCAAGGCGATAGATGTAGCCGGTGCGCGAGCGTCTGTTGTCTGAGTCACCAGCATGGTCTGCGTCGACGTAGCCGATTAACTTAGTCGGTGTAGTTGCGTTCTTGTGATAGGTTAGCCCGATCGTCGGGGTGCTGACGAGGTAGTGAAGAGCGCGGTCGAGCTCTGCTAGGTGCTCTGCTTCGGGTCTTTTGAGGTAGGTGGCGAGTTGGCTTGCGGAGTAGGATAGGTCTGGGCGACAGGTGACGGCTGCGAAGAGAAGGCATCCCAGCTTTCTCTGGTAGTCGCGAATGCCGGCAGGCTTGAGTGGAGCGGATTCACCCTTGTTGTTCCCTGTCGTGTAGCGATATGGTGTGGAGATGGCGGTTGGTGCAAGAGCGAAACGCTTGGCGATGGTGTCGGCGTATTTTGCGGCGCTGAGGTAGATCGCGTCGTCTTCTTCTCGGATGTTGAGCCCAAGATACTGTGTGACGGTAGATGAAACCGTGAGCGTGAGATCTTGCTGCAGCTCCCCTTCGAACCAGGTGGTGATGCTGTCGGACGAGCCGATGTAGAGGAGGTCGTCTACATAGACGATTAGCAGGACGTAGTCGTCGTTCTTCGTGAGCCGGTACATCCCCTGATCGTGGGGTAGTTGTTTGAAGCCAATGCGGATGAGACGGGCGTGTAGGTACTGCTGCCATAGCCGCGGGGCTTGCTTAATCCCGTAGAGCGATTTCAGTAGTTGACAGACTTTGTTCGGCTCTCCGTTAGTGCCATGTGGGAGTTCGACGAAGATCTCCGCGTCGACAGGTGCGTAGAGAAACGCGTTGGCGACATCGATCTGTCGTAGCTTCTTCTTCTTCATGGCGGCGATCGCGAGAAGAATTCGAAGTGAGGTGTGTCGGTTGACCGTGGCGAATGTCTCGGTGAAGTCCCGTCCGTGCTCCTGATCGAATCCACGTACAACCCAGCGTGCTTTGAACTTCTCAATTGTGCCGTCTGCTTTCGTTTTGACGCGGAAGACCCATTTCCCGGTGAGGATGGTCTTGTTTCTTGCCACGCTGATGGGAACGACTTTCCAGGTGTTCCGTTCCTCCAGCGCTTTTAGTTCTCTGTCCATGGCTTCACGCCATTTTTCCCTGTGCTCCCCCCCCCAGAGCCTGTTGAACCGTCGCAGGCTCTTTAGGAATGGCGGGACCTGGACTGCGGTGACGAGTCCGGATATCTGGAGTCCACTCTGTGAGTAGCGGGGGAGTGTGGTGTCCTCGGGATAAACAGCTTCGTCTCCTGTTTCAGGTGTTGGATTGAAATTCGGTCCTACTCGTTCTGCTTCGTTGGTGTTGACCCGTGCAGGTGTAACGTAACCGTTGTCGGCGAATTCGTAGAAGACTTCGGCGTTGATGCTTTCGCGAGGATTTTCGTCGTCCATTGGGATGTCCACGGAGCAGTAAGGGAGAGGTCCGGCTGCTTCCGAGGCTCCCTCCACGTTCTGCTCGTCCCAGTCAGCTTCGTCTTCTGCCGAGGCGAAGGCTCGGTTCCCATGAAATCCGCCCGAGAGGTCAGGTCTGTTTTCTTCGATGTACATGAGGTGAGTTTCGAGGGTGAGGTTTTCGTAGAAAACGACATCACGTGCTGCTACTGTTTCCTTGCTGTTGATGTCGAAGATTTTCCACGCGTTGTAATGTTTTGCGATGCCCAGGTGTAGTCCCCACTGTGCGCGTTGAGAGAATCGCCCAGCTCGTGCAGATGGAGGTCGGTACTGTACCATGCAGCCGAAGACTCTCAACATTTTTGTGCTGCCCAATTTTCCTGTCCACAGCAGATGCGGTGATGCGTTGTTCGGGAGCGATGATGACGAAAGCAAGTTGTGCAGCATCACGGCGTGGTCCATTGCTTCGGGCCACTGGTGGTTGGGCAGGTGCATGCCACGTAGCAGCTTGCGCATGGTGGCTTGGAGCGTCCTGTTCATCCTTTCTGCTACGCCTTGCTGTTGGTGAGCGTAGGGAAGGGAGATGAGCCTCTTGATTCCTCTTTCTGCCAAGTACTGCTTGAACCTCTGTGAGGTGTATTCTCCTCCCCCGTCTGACTGAAAGCTTTTTAGCTTAGCTCCCGATTCTCGTTCTGCGACTGGAAGCCAGGCGACAAAGGCTTCGAAAGCCATGTCGCGACTTGGAAGGTTTAGGTGCCAGACATATCGAGTTGCGGCGTCGATGAAGGTGATGGTGTAACTGTAGGCGTTTTGTCCGGGTTCACGGTTGTATAAGATGTCGCTGTACACCTTTTCGAGAGGTGTGTACGCAGGTGCGCTTGGATTGTGATGTGAGACGAACGGCTGATGCGGTAAGTCAGCTTCAGGGCAAGTGAAGCACGTTCCACGGGCTCGTTGAAGTTCTCTGCCGTCGGTCAGTAGAAGTGAGTCTTTGTCGAGCACTCCTGCTCTTATCGTGTTGTTTAACACTGTGTTGCTTGGATGTCCCATTCTTGCGTGCCAGGTACCTTCAGTGGCGCGATGTCCGGGTGATCTCCGATACAGATCAGAGTTGGAGTAGAAGCCGGCGGTGACGTTTGTGCTTCGGTGGACTTCGCGTGGTGCTGGATTGAGTTGTTGTGCGGGTGTCGGTGGTGAATCGTCGATGGAGATCGGTGTCGTTGAAGGGCCAGCTATTGGTGTTGATGTTGCCGCTGCTATTGTTGTTGTCTCTGCTGCTCCCGATGTTGTTTCTGCTGCTTCCGATGTTGTTGCTGCTACTGCCGGTGTTGTTGCTGCTGCTGCCGATGTTGCTTGAATTGTCGCTAACGCTCTTGTTCGTTCTGTTTCAGGGATCGTGTGAGAGTGCCAGAAGCCGCCGGGGCTGAAGTCTGGGTCAAGATCTGGAGGATGTGTCCAAGGAGCAAAGCTGACGATGCCGTCGCTGTCAGCGGTGCCAAGGTCTGGTACGAAATCAAGAACGAAGACGTTGTTCTTGAGGATCGCCTTTCCGATGTAGAGGCCGCCCTTTCCGTGGTACAGCTTGAACTCCTGGGTGGTGCTGTCTGCTTCGAGGTGAATGCCTTTCGCCATCAACTGACTGACGCTCAGTAAGTTATAGCCGAGACCTTCTGCGATTAAGACCTTGGTCATTTGTAGAATGACACTTGTTTCTCGTGACTGAAGTTGTACCACGCCTTGTCGCCGTGTGCGCAGGTTCTGGTTGTTGGCGACGGTGATGACTACTTCACGTTGGAGTTGATACTCTCGTTGTACGAAGCGTCCTGAAGAGCACATGTGCTGTCCGCAGCAACTGTCCAAGAACCATGTGTCCTTCCCGGATGGTTCACTCTGGGCGATGGCGGCGTATGTCGGGTTTGGCTGCAGTGACTCGCGGCGGGGTGTGCTGTTGTCGAGCTGTTCTTCCGGTGAGTAATGTGGTGGTGATTCAGTGACGCAGGAGTCGGTCAGTCTTGCC